TCCATGGCCAAGCTGGGATTCGAACCCTGGTCTCCAGAGTCATAGTCCGACATTCAGACCATGACACCAGCAGACTCCATTTGCGGCTTACTGGCAGCCAGGTTGGGTGCATGTTTGGCCTTGCTGCTTCTCAGGTAGGCCTGACATCTTGTTTCCCTAATTTTGCACTCTGGTGCCTTTCTCTACTCAGGTCCGCGTGGAGTTCATGGACGACACCAGCCGCTCCATCATCCGCAACGTGAAGGGCCCCGTCCGGGAAGGAGACGTCTTGACGCTTCTGGAGTCGGAGCGCGAAGCCCGGAGGTTGCGCTGAGTAACACCCACCAAAGCCACCCCAGTGAGTATGGCTCATGGCTTCCCTCTTTAATCTCAGTGTGTTTTTCAGGAGCTTTGGGACTATGTGCCCCATCATCCCTGGTCACCTTGCTTGGCTTGGGCTCATGGCAGTCGAGATCAAACACATCTGATTTGTATTTCCTCCCACTCAAACTGACCTGTTAAATGCATATGCGTGTGTGTGTGTGCGTGCGTGCAATCTCTTCCTCTTTAAACTCATTAAATTTATTATTTCGTATGGCCTAAATACCCCAAAAAGGCACCAGACCATGTCTGGTCTTGGGAGCTAAGGAGGGTGAGCCCTGGTTAGTACTAGAATGGGGGACCGCCAAAAAACACCAGGTGCTGTAGGCTCTACTTCAGAGCAAGGAACTGACAAATCCATCTTGGGGAATTCCTTGCTCAAAAAAACCCTAAAAAGGTCAACAGGTGACTTGAAGGCATATAGATAGAATATGCTCCTGTTTGGTCTTAGAAGCTAAGCAGGATCAGCCCTGGCTCGTACTAGGATGGGAGACTGCCAAAAGATACCACATGCTGTAGCCTCTGTTTCAGTGGAAGGAAGTGGCAAAGGCACCTCTAAGAAAACCCTCTGAAATACACGGTTTTGCCATAAGTTGACTGGCAGCTTGTAGGCACATGCATGCACACATGAGCTGAATGGACCATTCAACTGAAATTGGTTTAATTCTTTTTCTTTCTTTGTTTTTTCCCCTTTCCTTAGATGTATTCAGAACTGTCCTGGGTGACCTGCCTGTAAAGTCTGGATTGTGATGTTGAAAGCTGGATGTGACTGAAATAAAGTTGGTTAGCCCCCCCTTAACACAGTTCTGGTGTGTGATGCTTAATTTGTCAAGACAGAGCAAGGCAATGTGGTGGTGATTGAAATATGTAGTCCCAGTCCCCCATGCTTTACGACAGGGGTAGGCAACCTTTCCCCTTTAAGGGCCAAGGGACTTCAACTCCCAGAATCCCAGGAGCTATTGGCCAACATGGGACTATTGGCCAACATGGCTGAGGCTTCTGGGAGCTGAAATGCCTCGGCCCTTAAGGGGGAAAGGTTGCCTACCCCTGCTTTACGATTATTTCAATGGCTGTACTGGTTGGGGTATTCCACACTTGTAGTTGGAAACAGTTGGTAGAGTCTCTCAGTGGATTGATGTCAGGTTTTAGTTGTAGACTCTTGCAGTTGGAAGGGGCTACAAAGGCCATATAGTCCAGCCCCTGCCAAGCAAGAGTATGCATGTAACACAGGCCACCCAACCACTGTTTAAAAACCTCTAAAGGAAGAGAGTTTACTACCCTCCGAGGCAATGTATTCTACCACTGTCCAGCTCTTGTGACAGAAATGTTTTTCCTACTCTTGACTCGTATTAGGTCTGTGATCTACTAGGACCCCTGGATCTGTTTGCGTGTCACTCATCCTATATTTCTGCAGTTTATTTTTCCTGCCTAAATTGCTGTCAGATCAGCTAAGACTTGTGGCCAGCCTCTGAATGACACATCTCCAAGATGGCAGAAGGTGAGAATTTAAAAGAAAACACACAAGCCAAAAGAGGCTGCAGCAGTTTGCTTTTGCCTGGCTTCACAGGGAAGGGCAAGAGTCTGCCGTGGATCACATCTTGGGAGAAAGGCAGGATATAAATCAAATAATTAACATTCTGACCCTTCTTGGCCTCTTCTCCTTCTGACTTGATGGACTATGGGACAAAGTTGTGTCCCTGTCCCCATAAAGTTGGAATTTCACAAGGAACATTTCAAGTGTTAGATCTCTTTATTCTGTGCAATAGTAAATTGAATCGATTTATATGTATAAATACAAAAGCCGGCATCGTGCATAAACCCTAGTGCTTTATTTCTTTGAGTAACCTCTTTTAACCAAAATTCTCTCCTTGACATATGTGAACATCTAAACTGAGAAAAGAGGAAAGCACATTAGCCTGCCTCGCCAGCCCCTCCAGTGTTAAAAAAAGCATAGTTCTATTGACTATAGTTGAAATAGAAAGAAAAGTAGAGACTGGTGAAAGGAAAAATCATCCCTGGATACATTTTGGAAGAAGCCTTCAGAAGGTCTAAGGAGGGTTTGATATGCCTTTCGTTTACTTCTACAAGGCTTACCCAACCTGGTTGCTTCATTCCACATGGGCATCATCTTCAGTTATGAATAAAAAAGTTTGCTGAAACACGTTAAATTGCTGTTCTTTTAGGTACTGTGTGACTGTATCCTTACTCTTTTTAGTTATCCCTGCCTTTCCTACCGAAGTCTTTGTTAAAGAAGTCAAGAGTACGTCTAGCTGTGTTTGCCAAGGTATATCTCATATGAGAAGGTTTCAACCCACCTTCCCACAAACCCTATTTTGCAACACGTGGTGTTTTTGATGGAAAAGCAGCAGTAATATTGGCAAACGTTGGCCTCACTGAGGACTAAGGCCTTAGTGGAAGGTTTAGCTTTTGGTGTTGTAGAGGAAGAAAGAGAAATATAGTTCCCTCCCTTGTCCTTCTTGTAGGACTATTGAAGAGCTCCATTAATGTTGGGCAGTCCAGAGAAGTGGATTAAAATATAAAGTTCTGATGTGATTGTCCGTTGTTAAAATCACTTTCTGGCCCAGGCTTTAAAGCTGTCTGTTGTCACTGCAAGGAGTCTTCCCATTTTAATCCTGCAAGCAGAGGGAGGGAAATAATTCAATATTTTAAAACTTACTTCATACCCTCTGACATTCCACAGATGAAAACTGTGATATATGTATGGCCAACCAACACTGAAGTGTGGTTAGAATTTGCAATGTGGGAAGAAGACACTTGGACTTCTGGCAACTCTAAGTAGAACTTAACTGTAGGGTTTTCTGGGCAAGATTTGTTCAGAGGCCTTTCCCTTCCTTTGTGGCTGAGAGAGTGGGACTTGTAGGTCACCCAGTGGATTTCCATGGCCGAGGAGATTCAAACCCTGATTCCCAGAGTCCTAGTCCAACGCTTGAACCACTGCACCACATTGATTTGCTACTCAATTAAATTTTGCAAATATGTATGGCATTTTATGAAGATGAAAGTCCCAAGATGAATCACAGATGCTGTTTTCAGCAAATACCTTATAAAGTTTTAAAAAACTAACTAGTTTTTTAAAGCTGCACCTTGTTCTCATTATGTTGTGAGGTAACTTGGGTCCAGTATATAAATTAAAAGCCGATCTAGACATTTATTGAAGTCTCAACAGACCAGGTTTTGGTGCCGATGGAATTTGGCCAAGCAATTCCCAGTAAAACGAATTCCTAGAGGAATGGATTTACTCACCGGGGTCTGCACTACTGACTGTGTGAGATGAGTGGAGATCAGAGCTGCTATGTCCCGGTGACCAGCCTCTAGAGCGATGGAAACTGCGTCATTGCCATCCTGGAGTGAAAGGAAGCAAGAACGTTTGGGGGCAAAAATGGGTTGAAAATGAAGGTTTGTAGGGTTCCAGGGCCTGCAAAAACATCCCTGGTGACCATACTTTGCCCACCCCAGCTTACATGATCCACAATGGAGACATCGCAAGCTGGCTGGGACAAAAGCAGCCGGACCGTTCCTGCCCTCCCGTGTTCGCAGGCGCACATGAGAGCAGTGGAGCCCTCCTCGTCCTGGAGGTTTGGGTCAGCCCCACATGCCAAGAGGACCTCCACCATCTCCTGCCGCCCGTGGCTGACAGCGAGCATCAGAGCTGTTTGGCCGGCCTGGAAAACATGCACAACAAAGAAGAAGAAAGGTTTGGGTCCAAATTTATGATTTCTAGCAGTGACACCAAATCCAGCCATCTTTGTGGGTGAGTTTCCCAGCTTCGGTACTGGTTTTCTCCCCCTTCCATTAAGCAGGACAGCCTCCCCCAAAGCAGAGCTTCTGGCTGTTATAAGGACAAGTTGATTTATTCCCTCCCTCCAGCCCCAAATATATCTCACTTGGCTGGCTTTGGCATTGACGTTGCCCATGCTGAAAAGTCTCCGGACGACAGCCATGTCGGCTCCTTGCTCCACCGATGCCAAGGCGGCCAACATCAGGGCTGTATAGCCAGCTTTGTTTTGATGGTTGACATTACACACTCCTAAGAGGTTAGGAAAAAGGCAGAAATTCAAACAGGTACGATCAAATATCCTCAAGCCACCAGATCCTTTCTAACCTTGGAAGCTAAGCAGGCTAAGCCATGGCTAGTAGTTGCGGACAAGAGACCGCCAGGGAATACCAGAAGGATCCCACCTCGGGGAATTCCTTGACTAAGGAGCTAAACAGACCGGCACAAAACGCTGGCTTCAGGGCAGTGTTGGGGCATGGTCTTCATATGACGCATGCCCCAGTGCACCCCCAAAGCTGTCGTCACACTGTTTGACCGACCAGACGGTGGGCAGCATTGTGGTACTTCTGCAGCACAGATTTAGATGCCACATGCTGCAGGAGTGGAGGAAAGGGCACCTTTTTCCGTCCCAAAAAGGAGCAGCATTTTCCAGCTTTTTTTTGGGGGGGGATGGAAAAACATCATGGTGTGTTGTTGCCACGGCCCAATCCAACGATCAAAGAGGCGGCATCAAGCCATTGCGTTGGGGTGGTCTGTTTTGCCCCTAAGAAACCACTCTGAAATTCATGGGGTTGCCATGAGTCGACAGGGAACTTGAAAGTACATGTGCACACACACAACTATTTCAATAAATAAAAGTTAATAAATAAAATTGTTTAATACAACAAAGGTAGCGTTGCAACTGCTAATTATGTCTTTTT